TCCAAGGGTCTGAAGTAGCAAGTCTCGTAAGCCACTACTTTTCTTATATAAGCTTTAAATTGTCAATAGAGGGGCACCTGGGTGGCTCAGTGGGTTAAGCCTCTGCCTTCGGCTCAGGTCATTATCTCAGGGTCCTGAGATCGAGCCCCGCATCGGTCTCTCTGCTCAGCAGGGAGCCTGCTTCCCCCCCCTCTGCATGCCTCTCTGCCTACTTGTGATCTCTGTCTGTCAAATAAATAAATAAAATCTTAAAAAAAAATTAAATTGTCAATAGAGAATAAATTTCAAAGCTGCAAATAAAAGTAATTTAAGAATTTTAATAATATCTGAAATTATAAGCTAAATGTGATACTTTTACCTACATATTTTCAAATACAGACTCAAAAAATCCACTGGATACTAAGTAATTTCATCCTGCCCAACTTTTCCACCTCTACCAATAACACAGGTTACCAAGTTAAACACCAATGGACTGACTCTAGATCCAAACTGTATGATCTCCATTATGGCCATCTAACTACCTACTTATCTAGAGAGAAGAGAGACTTATGCTAAATAATTTTTCAACGAAGTGAAATTGTTTCAATACTTTCCTTCCTCCCACAATTCCACAAAAAAAAAAAGGAATAACTCGTGTTCTCAACATTTTGAGTGTTTTAGTGGCCAAGTACCATGAATGAAAAATTCCTGTCAGTATTTTTAGACACAAAATCTATACCTAATACACATTAAATAGATAGTAAGCAAATATGGAATAAAGAACTAGATAGGAAATTTATGTAAGTAATACCTAAACTGAAACTAAAATCATCTCAAGCAGAGATTGTACATTTTAAAGTATGCATAGTAAAATATTAATGTAAGTGCCGTTAGGAAATAAGTGTTCTACATAAGTGAAACAGAATATGGGAATATACCCCCTTAAAATTTAAGACTTGGCCTAAAAATCTTTCCAAAAGGTACTGTGCATTTTTTTCTTAATTAAACAAAGCATCCCAAACAGCTCACTGTAAAATGCAGCACTAACAGTATAGGGCCTCCCTGAATCCATTTTGTGTTCCTTTGTTATTGTAGTTTCCATTTTCTTTTGGTGGGGGGGGGTTCCAATTGTCCTCTCCTTGTCAGCCCTTGGCAAGTCGTAAGGGCCTGTACAGTCTTGGTCTAAGGGATACTTGAGCCAAGTGTGTGTGCAGCTCAAAGACTTCCATGTACATACAATTGCTCATTTTCTGCCCCGTTCCAGGTAGCTGAGACTGCTCAATGTCTAAAAATGTTTCCTTACCCTAATTTCCCAACCACTTTCAGGTATTCCTTAGGGTTAAGTACATATCCACTCATGTGACTGAAGGCACTAAGATTTTAAACACCTGTACTGAGTGAGTTCACTAGTTTCAGAACTTTTTCTTTGGAAAGTACTTTTTACTAAACCATAAATACCATTTTCAAAGAAATTTCCAAACTCAAAGTAAAAGCTGTATTTCACAGGCACACCAAGAAACCAGTAACAGTAGATAAGAAAGATTTTCAATTTCTTGCAAATTTTTCTTTGTACATACAGCCTTAACTTTCTTTCCCTATTGTATTTTACCTTTTTTGGCCTCAAGCCTGTGCTTAGAATTACTTTAAATCTTCAGTTGATTTGTAAGAGCAACATGGTTAAGTGAATCTTTTCCTTAGAAAGTGCTCAGGAGCATTTTTAGATGATGGCAATGAGTGTAGTCCCTTATATACATCAAAAAGGCATACACAGGGACGCCTGGGTGGCTCAGTTGGTTAAGCGGCTGCCTTCGGCTCAGGTCATGATCCCAGCGTCCTGGGATCGAGTCCCACATCGGGCTCCTTGCTCGGCAGGGAGCCTGCTTCTCCCTCTGCCTCTGCCTACCACTCTGTCTGCCTGTGCTCATGCTCTCTCTAACAAATAAATAAAATCTTAAAAAAAAAAAAAAAAGGCATACACAAATTTCAGCAGAACATTTGCAGTTACATGCTTTTAAAGTACAGTATACCAGTTGACACTATTGTCCAGAAGCAGCCATAATTATTTCTAACCAGAGGCATGGTATGTATATACACACATTACTACTAACACAAACACCCACACACCCATACAAGGGGTACCTCTACAGACCCATAATATATGGACATGTAAGTGAAATATAACCATTTCCTAAAATACAGGAAAAGTACATTTCAGGTGTTTTGTGTGACCATTCAAAGATAGAACTTTGTACCACCTGTATGTTCTTTATGAGTAAGAGAGAAATCAAGTGTATAAACTTAGAAAAGTGCTTAGAAGGATGCTATGGGATTTCTGGTTCAAGAAAACTGGTTATCTTCTACATTCATCCTACATTTTTTGAAAAAGGTCTTGTTTTGGAAAGACCATTCCCTTATGTTCAATTTGCAAGTCAAGAAGCACTTACTGTCTAAAACTCCAGAATAAGCAATTAAATAGAATTCAGATGTAGTTTGTTTTAATTGCTTAAATCATTTTTAAAACATAAGGTAACTTGACTTTTAAAGCAATTACAATTATATTCCATGGAAATGCTAGGGTGGCTTTTCACATTCTGCCTGCAAAATGGCAATCCCTTAAAAAGCAATTTTGTGTATCAAATTCAAGATCCCCATATAGATTTTTTTTAAAATCTCCTAATAAACTGTCCAGGGTGGGAGCAGGATGGAGGGCACAGTAGGGAACATGCATTCAAAACTAAACAGCTATTAAATAAGTGAAGCTGTTTAGAAGTATCTGGGTCTTAAAGGGAGAAAAGAGGGAAAAACAAAGATATTCTCACTTCAGATACATTCATTAAAAAACAACAGTCAGGGAGGATGCAATGAGAGTGCACAGGTAATTTTAAAAGACATTGTCTAGAAACTAGAAATGAGGAGAAAACCACCTCAATGCTCTATGATTACCCAAGAACGGGTTTAGCCTGATGAACAAGTCTGCTACAAACCCTCCCCCTCAAGGCATTTGAGACTGTATCAAACAAAACTTTATTAAACTGGATTACATGGTCTCATTCATTAGATGCTGATGGCCACACGTATGATCAGGTGAGAAAGTTGATGCATGGGACCCAAACTAGGCCTGGGTTTTATTAGTACGATCACTGTTAAGACAGCCCACTATTAAATTTCTTTGCCAGCAGGTCAAGTTCTAGAATCCCAGCTATTAAGTATTGAGCGCACTAACCCCTCACAGGGGTTTTCAAGGCCACTCAGATATGCTGACTGTATACCTGCAATAGACAGTTGATTACAGTGTGATATGCAATTGCACTCTTTTTATTAGGAGACTTTAAACCTTATGAAAAACATGTTCCCTCCTTCCTATCTCCCATTTCAAGGGCTTTCAAAGAAGAAAAAAAATAATCGTTCCAATGTTTCAAGCTTATTTCTACTCCCATTAGTCAAAATTCAGGTAAAACCCCATTTTCAGTGTTTCCTTCCCGAAGACAATTATTTATTCTATTAACAGCTGTTTTAGTATTTCTACATGTAATGTTTTCTTGGCCATCATTTGCATTTTGAAAACTTTAGACTGAGTTTATTATATACTTAGTGGTTGTTTAACTACAAACATAATTTGTACTTGAGCTGCTTATGTAGGATCATGCCTTTCATATAATCGCTTTATAGCTAAAAACTTCAGGCCAAAACAACCCATTCATTTCACTGATAAATACCTGAGCTATCTTTTCTTTAAAAGCAATTTCTCAGAAAGTCCTGGAATCTACCACTGACGCCAATACTATTTAGATTTTAATAAGGAGTGTTTATCACTGAGATATCAAGTATTACTTCCTTACATGCATACAAAATGTCTGCAGCCATATTCCTCCTAGTGTTCTATCTCAGCACTGACCTTTGTTCAAAGGCTTTTACTTTTTAATGCAGCAGTTAGAGATAACTACTTCATTTATCAAAACTCAATTTCCATAGTAACATCTAGCCTGGGGAGATTCAAGTCCTCACACTAATCCAACAACCCATTCAAAGGAACTGTTGAATACTTTGGTTTCCATAGCAATGATGGAATAAAACATTTTGCTAGGTCACTGCTTTTATTAGCAAACTTATTTTTTGAACTTTAGGTAAGGCTGAATTTACGGAGGGAAAAAAAAAAAACTATCATTTCATATAAGTTCTTTCCTTCAGGGACGGCCTTTTAGGAAAATCACAGATAGTAACCATTTATGTATTTGAAAATATTTTGGGTATTTGGAAGCTTTTTAAAAGCATGCCATGTAGTTTTGTCCTAAAATGGTTTCTAATATAGTTTTAAAATTAAAAAGCATTCAAAAGTGAATGTATAGACTTGACAAAATAAATATTTGTAAAATTAAAGTGACTCCACATAAAAGCACATTCTAAACAAGGACGAAATATAAACTAGAATGAAGACAGTCTTAAATAGCTCAAATCTGGGCTGGCACAATGTGCAGAATTAACTTTTAAACCATGACCCCATCTTTGCCTGATTTTAATAGTCTGCAATTTCGGCCCTTCCTTTCATCAACCACAGAGAAAATGCTAAACAGAGATTTTAGGTTAAAGGTGAAATTAAAGATAAATGTATTAGGCAGTTATGCTTTACATGCTAAATGGAAAATTTTAGCATTTAATATACCTTACAGAAGCCAACTGATTTGTTATGGAAGAAAGAAAATGAGTTACATTCTTTTTCCTTCAAGGCAGAAATAGCAGTGCCATTAAAATCCATTAGTAAACATCGTTGTTTTAACGTTTTTGGGTAATTCATTCTCCATGAGGTGACATGGCAAGGCCTTGGTAAGGGAACATCAGCCTTCCTGGAACTAGACTTTTTCTCTGAACTGAATTTTGAGCCAAGCCAGTGCTGAAAAGGTCGGCCATTAAAAAATAAAGGTTGACAGAAGAAAGAAGAGATCAAACATGTGTTGGCTTTTAAAAGGATGAATACCACTTACACTATTTACACAACTCACAGAATTAACAAGAAAATTACATACCAGTATGAGTCCTCAGGTGAGCTTTTAAATGAGACGACTTTGTATAAACTTTTGTGCAGCCTGAAATAAAGGAGAGGAAGAACAGCTTGTCATTTTGGAGATCTTTTGAAATCTTTACATTTGATGATTCAGTGTTTAAAACCGGGCTTTAAAGAAGAAATCGACATTTGAAGCGTCAGTTTTAAAGGGTGTCCCCTGTTACCTTATTAAAAGTATAAAGTGATTTACTTTATGTACCACTTTAGCAGAAAAAGCAGATAAGCAAGTAAGCTACAAATGGGAAATGTGTTTATATTACAGTAGGTGCTTTATGCTAGTAACATATACTTCAGTGATTAAAAAACTTTTAATGGCTCTAGAGCAGACAGTGTTAAACCATTATCCAAGATGACTGCTATTTTCTGTACTACATTTGTTTTTTCATTTAGTGTATCACGCTTTATCATGTACCATAGTCAATAAATTATACCCTGTATTAATCATAAACTAGCTTATGCCAGCAACTTGTAGATAAAGCCATCACCACCATCAATTTAGATTCTGAGCCACATCTCATTCCAGAATGAGCATATGCTCACATGCTATCAGAACTATCTTTAAATCTATTCTGTAGACAGTCTTGTAATGCACCATCAACAGAGCAGCCTACTTCATCTCCGCTTCATTACCACACCTTATTTTCCCTACCTTATCTAATTCTTTTTGGGCCACTTTAATTTAGAATTAAGAACTCCCATTTATACGTTACACAAGTAACTCTGGCATAACACAGAATTCTAATTTTTATTCAATATTAGAAATAAAGAAGTCCAAAGTAACCTTTTTCCAGAATATTCTAGCTTTTTTTTTTTTAAGTATGTAAAACCAGCAAGAGACAAGCATTCCAGGGTACAGTAAAGACAGATATGAAAAGAACAAAGCAGGTCGTTTTTTCATTGTCAAGTACTACTTTCCTACGTAAATTTAAAATCTGAGATTAAAAAAGGCATGCGCGCGCACACGCGCGCACACACACACACACACACACTACTCTCTCTCTCAACACAGGTATTGCTGCTTCAACCATGTTAAATCACGTACCAGGATAATCGCAGTAGTGGATGCGACGTTTCTCCAAATCCGGGTTACTCCTCCTGTTGTATCTGACAGGCTGGATGCTTTGCGAGTTAACTGGCAGGGTGGCAGGTAAATTTGGATTGTGAATTGCCAGTTTAGAAGCAATTGTAGCAGCATAGGATGGAGGTGGGGTCAGATTCTGGAGCATCTCTGCTTGTCTATCTGGACTTCCCGGCTCTGAGCTTGGTGGTGACGGGGGAAAGTAAGTGGCCTGCTGTGGCAGAAACTGACTTGGCATGGTGTATGTGCAAGGGGGCATGCCCTGGAACTGTTTCATTGCAGTCTGCGGAACAGCAGAGGTGTGTGTGTTAAGGCCTGTCATGGCGGCTGACATAGAAACATTAAGAGTGTCCATTACTGCTGTCTGGTTTGTAGAACTGGGCATATCTAGATCCGGTGTATTCAGTAGCTGGTAGAGGTGGCCCTGCTGGGGAGGGACAGAAAGATGAAGATCTGGTGTAGGAAGTTCTTGTTTGATGAAAATATTGTTCACCTCTGGAGCTGCGGTCTGGTGGGAGCTGAATATACTGGTGAACTCAGGGAGGGCCTGGGTTGGGGCCGGAGGAGGGGCAGTCGTTTCACTCTGGTGGCTGAAAATGGTAACAGGTTCTGTCTTGATGTGTGTTACACACGGTCTCTGGGATTTGTAGAGGCCAGTTCTCAGGTGAGTGATGTCAGGGAGGAAGACGTTCATGTTGATACTGTAAGGTAACCCTTCACTGTCAGTGAAGAACTGGTCTACGACTGAGGCACTGTCTCGTCTATACTTTTTATGCTCTGGAATTATAGAAACTGGAGGAAGCTGAGGTGTCAGATACTTCTCCATTTCACATCTTGTCTACAAAAGAGGAGATAAACAAACATGCATAATCCACCTAATTCATCATCTGGGTTAAGGACAAACTTACTGAAAATTCCCAACAATACCTGCGAAAAGTACTAGGGCAAACTCCTAAGTGTCGCTGATAAACTTATCATTTGTCAACTGTGTAATAACCTGGTTTACCAAAAGCCTTATGAAACTCTCTATAAGGTATATTTGGTAAACTGCTCCCACAATCAGCCCCTGACAAAAAGTGAAAGAGACAATCAAGAAAAAGCAGCAGCACACAGAAACATTCTTTTCCAATCAATAATACATATTCCTTTCGTATAATAAAAATTCCTAATAATAAAAATAAATCTAAATAAATAAAATTTAAGAACTCACATACAAGCAGGATTCCCTGGCCCCACCACAGTTGAGTTTGCAACTTAAACACAGTATTGTAATACTGCCAAACCACCTCAATTCTGTTCATGCCACATTTATATTAATATAAGTGTGTTTAATAAACAAAAACCTAAGCAAACCAACCTTAAAAATATCATCACAGAGTTGTTTTGTTTTCGCCTGGACAGATATTGTTGAAACATCTGATATAAAACATACTCCTTGGCTGTTTCAGTGCCTTTTCTCATTTATAGGTCACTGGACAGTTAAATGCAACCGTCTTGGGCAAAACACAGTATCCACTGAAAGAACAAAGCAACTTCACTTTCAACATTTGATCTAAATGTTGATTTTAATCAGCAGATTCTGTAATTGGTTAATATGATAATGAAATGTTCCTATTCATATCCCTATCTAAAACAGATCTTTAATTACCTAGGGGAAAATCACTCCCTTGGTAGAGTGGTGCTAAGGAGTCCGTGGGTGGGGAGAGGCTGCTGTATCCTTAGCACAGTCATCAGCAAAACATTTATCATGTCCTCCTCAGTGGCCAATGCTACATTCCCCCTTACTCTGTGAAAAGCTCAATCATCCCTTATCCTTGTATCTCAAACCAAAAGAAAAGTGACAAACCTGAAATAACCAAATCTTTTCCAAGTGGCGATTTTTTTTTTTTTTTAGGACACAATCCAACTTGTAACTAATAGTCTCCCTCAGTCTTTTTACAGCTATCTTCTATTCTAGTGCAACATGAACTTCTATTTTAATTTTTAACATTGAAGAGTAAATTTTAAAAGAAAAACCCACTCCAACTAAATGGCTCATGAAACTATTAACCGTGGCATCGAAACTGGTGACTAGCAGTCATTTTTTTGCTACTACTCAATTTCAAAAGCGTTTCATATCGGACCTCCTCTATCATTCCGGGTGGATGCAGACACCGTTTCCCCGATAAACACGATTTCAAAAATAAAGATTAACGCTCTAGTCATGTGAGTCACATCTCTGACAAATGCCACTGCCCTTTTACAGCACGACGAAACTCGCGGACCACCCGGACTAGGAGAGCTCAGGAGCAAATACGCCATAGACCAAGGGGCTATTAAATGAAGCGTCTCGAAATAAACCGAACTAAACCCTTTCGTGCACTTCGCTCCCGTGGTGGTTAGTGGTTTCTGATTTTAGCTCTTCCAGCTGTTTGCATGTGGGTATGTTTCCAATTTTTTTTTTTTTTTTCCCTGGGACAGGCTAAAAGTCCCAGGAAGTTTTTTCTGGGCTATATGACTCCCTGCGTGGGCGAAAGAAACAGGCGGTTGCTCTAATTCGGCTGCCGGGCAAGTGTAAAAGCCAACTGCCAGCTTTCAACGCGGCTCCGGGAGGAAATTTACGCGCACACGAAGAAAACAACACCCCCGGTCTTTTTTGGTCTTTCTTTTTAAGGAAAAACAAACGCTCCAATACAACCTTAGCTTTCCTAACTCTCGTTTCCCGAAGGCAGCCCCAGATCGCATCTAAAGCAGGCTGAGACGAGAAATACGAAACCAACACCCCGAGGCGCCTTTCGCCAGCACCCCGATTTGCGTTTTCCCCTGAGAAGACGTGGGGGAACCTCCAAGGGCAGAGCACTGCGGGGGCTGGAGAATAAGGTGAAAGACGGAATTTAAGTAAGGTTGGAAGTGAGGTATCAAGTCCCATCCCCCCAAACTAAGAAAACACGAAGTAAGGTGCGTGTTAGCACCCACTTGCCTCTAACCTCTCCCGGACGCGTCTGACGAGATTCACCCGGGACCCCCGCTCTTCCGGTCCCCCTACTTTCTCCCTGCAGACTGCGGGTGCCCAAGCCAGAAGGGTAGGGCGGGGAGAAGCTGCCCACCCAGCTCCGGCTGCCGGAGCGCCCCGACGCACGCCCCAGCCTGGAGCGGCCCCTGTCGCCCGCGCGTCGCAGCGGCGGGACACGCCCGAGCTCCGGGAGGGGGGTGGAGGGAGGGGAGCGGCTCTTCCTACCTGGACCAGCTCCTCAGGGGGCAGCCGCGGGCCAGCGGCGGGCGGCGGCGCCGGCTGCGGCGGCTGCGGGGGCGCGGGCTGAGCCTGCGGGTGGTGGTGCGGGTGCTTCAGCTCCTCGCCGGGGAAGAGCGCCGCGTCGCGGGCCGGGTTCGCGGCGCCCAGCACGGGCTTGAGCTGTGCGAACACGGGCTCGTCCTGCGGGGCCGGCGGCTGGGGCACGGGTCCCAGGCGGGCGCTCATAGTCAGCACCCGCGTGGCCATTGGCACTCAGGGGGCGGCTCCGGGCGCGGGACGCGGGTCGGGCGCGCTTCTACTTCGCCCACGCTGCTTCGGGCCGGCGAGCTCGGCGCGGGGCCGCGGGCGGAGAAGGGGAGGCTCCGGGTGGACCCCCTCAGGCAACAGCAGGCGCGGTTTTCGAAGGCGCGCACGAAAAGCAAAACTCTTCCGCTCCGACACGCGTAAACGCCAACGTCCTCCCGGCGGCCACTTTCTCCCGCCCCGCCCCACCGCGCTCTCTCACTCGCCGGAGCCCGCTCCCGCCACCGTCTGTCTCCGTGAGCGAGCTGTGAGCGCGCGTACCTGCCCCGCGACTACTGACACTTGACGCCCGCCTCTATTTTACCCAACTCCGAGTGGGCGTGGCCCACCAACCTGACTGGCAGCGCTGCGGCGAATCCCGAAGCCCTGAGGCCGGCCGGGACTGAGTGGGCAGCCTATGAGAAGGGAGAAGTTCTCCCAGGCCCCGCCTTCGCCGGGCTAACCCGCCCTCTAGGGCCACGAGCTTTCGCGCGCAGGGCGGCCGCGCAGTTTGTACACAACTTCTCTGACAGATTGGGCTGACGGAGCCGGGGGCGGAGGAAAGGAGAGAAGCGGGTGGAATCTAGGAAGAGAGGGAATTAGGGTGGAGACGTGGAGGGAGATCTCTTCGGACTGTTCTCTGCCAGGATTAGGGAGAAAAAGAGTTTTGCACGTCTTAGGTGTTGTGCAAGGACCTGAAACTCAAAAGCTGAAATCCAGAAGGCAGCTAGGTGGGGGCGCCAAGGTTTTTAGAGACTTGTTTCACGAGTGTGTATTTTAAAATATACAAAATGTACTTTTCTTTAGCGGACAACGAGGGGCGGTGTGATAAACAAATTTAAAAACAGCTCTCTTGTCTGTGTATCTTCAGCAGTGAACATGTCCATTTAGCAAAGCAAATCCGGAATGTCGTGAATAAAAGGTTTAATGGTAAGATTTTTTTTTTTTTGAAGTCCTTGATAAAAGCTTGTTTTCCCCTACAGTATTTAAGTGGTTAGAAGAAGTTTCCACACACATTTCTAACTCGTATACGTGTATGGAGAGGAGGGGAGGGGGATGGGCCATATGAATTTTGAAGTTTTTAATATTTACACTTTTGATTGTAGCCGAAGCATGGAAGCTAATTTAAGCACGAACGACTGACTAGTTCAAATGTATTTACATAGAGATTACATCTTCGACTTGTTTTTGCTAGCACTGTATGTTCAAAAAAATGGAGTTTAATATTTACAAAACAGAAACGTAGCACATTTACCTAACACTATGGCACCTTTTCCTACGAAAAGACAATCGCAGAGGCCAAACATTAGATGCGGAGCAGCTCTGAAAACTGGGAATCTAAATTTGTAGGAAAGTAATAGTCAAATATATTATCATCCATTAACTACATTATAATGGGAAGGTGAAGTTTTGCCAGCAATCACCTAAGGAAAACACTTCTCTAATCCTTAATGTTCTTGTATATGATTTTATCTGGCTTATTGAGAAGCCGGAACAATAAACTTCAATAAAAATGCCTGGTATATTACTACATATGTATATATGTTGACAGCACACTATACTATTAGACAATTTTACATATGCAACAGCCTACTCATCACTTCACAGTAAAACAGCTTTAAAAAATGAGCTCTTAGAAAAATGTTCACTTCAAAGAGGTGGATCTTTAAAAGTATGGCTCTCATTTCAGTGTGTAGATTAAAAAAATACACATGAAATATTAGAGGTATTTATTACTAGAGAACAAAATTATGCTGTAAATTTTTTCTCCTTTTCATTTCCTTTTTGTTAATAAATGATTCATCTTTATAGCCGTGATCAGTTCTTTCAGAGAGTGGTTGACAACTATTTCATGTTACCAAAGTAGTATTTAATAAGTCTTTTTGCTAATTTTTTCCTAAGCAAACAGTCCCATGGTATCTACGTTCACCTTTAAAAAGCTGTCCTGATTTTCTCTAAGATTGAACCCAAGCATGTAATTAAATAACTTAAAAACAGATTATAGAATTGGTTTGGGATTTAATTTTTTTAAAAATTGAACTTTGACAGATTTTCAGTTATAATGCTGATAACATGATCAAACCTGAGTGTGATATAGATAAGTCTTAACGGAAGTTCTATATTCTTTTTAACCTAGGTTTAATACAATTTAGTATCTATTTATATTTTAATTTGCCTCTACACTCCTCTATACCTTTTCTTTTGTCTTTATCAGAGCATCAGTGGCCTATTATTTCAACCTGTTTTCACTACAATAAAATTCAGTTATTTTACTGGAAATGTTTCTATATTTCACATCATTTTTTAACATGCTTTCATTTACAAATGCTTTCCCAGTAGCTAAACAACATAAAATCCAACTATTTGATAAGTTTTTAATAAAATACTTGTCCAATTCAGTTCTTTTTTTCACATTTCCATTTTTTTCTAATGAATAAAGATATGAATTTAGCTATGGCTGGGCTCTCGATACATATATGTTAGAAAAGCTGAATTCAATCGTTGTTGAATTTTTTTGTTCAAATATAGTAGCATTTATTTAAATTTCATTTCTGACATAAGGATTCATAAAACAGGACTGCCAATTTTAAGTAATGGTTTCTCTGAAATCCCAGGCTCTGCAATCTCACAGAAAATAACTAGCTTAGCACTGTACAATAGTACGGAAATTGGAAAGTAATCCTTTTCTGAGACATTTGCCATGCGATTCTGAACATAGAAAGAACATGTTCAACCAAGCTTACTTGCTGTTAACACACATGCTACAGCTGCAAACCTGATTCACTGACTTAACAAAAAGGGTTAAAACTTGATAAATATTTTTCAAATGTTCCAGGTTCTACATTGGCATGATGCCAGACAGTGTGAATGGACAGATCCTCAATTACTTTGAACTTTCTAGTTCTTTGCATTCCTTCCTGCTTAGTAGTGCTGTACCATTAGGGAAGATAGGAGAAAACAAAAAACAAATGTCAGGTTTCAGAAATCAATTAGTGGCCTGGCAGTGGTATGTTAACTGAACTGTGCCAAAACAGAGAATTCTGAGGGAAAGAAATAAAGTTGAGTAGTCAAGTTAGGTAGGAGGGTAAGCGTAGAATCAGTGTGCATGCTTAAGCCCTTAGTCACTGGGCAACACAGATTTAGTCTTAGAATAAACCGTAAGTGTCACTATCTTTACGGGAATAAATACGCCTGAATGTGTGGGGGCTGAGCAGGCATTCAGTGATGGGGGGTGGGGGCAGGGAGGAGGCTTAGAGGCCATGGGAAAAAAAAATGGATAAATAGCTTCTGAATGATGAGATGAGAGAAATATGAAGCTATCACTCGGGCAATGTTCACAGGAAGACACGGCAAAAGAAGTATCTGTATTCAGTTGTTCGGCCAAACTGTCAGGGACAGCTTGAAATTAAGACAGTTTAGACAACATTTTATTCACTTTGGAAAATTTTCATGGAATATTCCATTTCTGTAAAGTCAGAATCAAATTACCGAGTGATATCGGACTACAGAAAAAGCACGAGAATGAGTAAAAATAATTTTTTATAAGGGAGTACACTCTTCTCTAGGGTAACAACATTATTGCATTTAAAGTGACTTTCTTGGTATTAACTGATTGCCTACCTAGTGTTAGAATTTGTATCAACAGAAATATGAAGGACATAATTATTGTCCTCTAAAACATTTCACATTTTAAATTGTTTAACTTTCTCATTAATGGCAACTGCTTTAAGTCACACTTCAAATTAAAAAAAAAAAGTCATTGAGAACAGAACACAATAAAGAGGCTTCCCCTGAGATTAGCCAAAATTCAAACCATTTTGACGTTAATAAACATAAGATTTCATCCCTTTTGGTTGAAAAAATATGTAATTTAAATAGGACTAATATCCCTCTTTCTTGTATAAATTAAAATGCTGACTTAGAAAAAAATTACTACTCTATTTTTGTGCTATCTCCCACCCTGGTTAAGAAATTAAATTTTATATTAAGTTTGGATTTAAATGTGTTCTTCATAAAATATCTCCTAAAAGTCTCCATGTGCACTTAATTCCTAAATGTACTATAATTTATCTAACCTATTTTTAAAACTCTAGCAATAGACCCAAAAAACCCCAGAATTTTACCTTGTTGGGGGGACTGGGATAGCTTTTTCCACCTTGTTAGTATAAGAAGCAGACAAAATGACATAAATATAAATGCCTTGAACCAAGTTATAGGCCAGGCATACTGTAGCTTAAACTGTACAGCATCTGAATTCTGACTCTAAACATGATAGGAAAGGTCAGAGAAAGATCCTGAACTGAAGCAGTTATACCAAACAATCTTTTAGAACACTAAGGAGGTCACATCACGAGGCCTCATCATCATCACAATGAGCGGTGTTTTGAACCAACTGCTGTTCAAGTGATGACAAAAGCACTAATGGTCCTAGGGTGTGGGGCAGGGGAATGCTCAAGGAGACTGCACGGGGGTCAAGAGGGAAGACCCTTTGGGAGGTTAATTTGTAAATGAAATGTGTAACAGTAGTGCTAAGACCAACACTGCCCATTCCTTCCTTAACTTCTATCCCCTGATGATGGTTGTGAAAACGTATAACTTTTGAGTATGAAAGTTTGACAATAAGTATGAAGAAGGCTAAAAATGAAATAAGCTTGGGACTCCTGGCTGGTTCAATCAATAGACCATGTGAGTTCAAGCCCGACACTGGGCATAGAAATTATTTTTAAAATATACAAAATAGAAAGATTTGTAAAATGGAAAGAACCTTTAACATGATAGGTAATTCCCCCTCAAGAAAATGTATATATATATACAATCAAATAAAATTGGAAATATCCCAAGTGACCAACAACAGGAGAACAACAATGTATCTGTACAATGGCTGTAGTTCTGCCATCAGAAATCATATTATTTAAAAATTTTAGTCACATGATATATCAAGTAAAAAAGGTAAGAGGTTTTAT